GGATGGAACCTGATAAACCTGGAGCTTAATGTTTAAGCTTATTTCGTATCGATTCGACTACAGTCTGGGGAGTTGCAGGAAGTCTCTTCTAGCTCCATCTACGCGGAGTTGGATTTCAACCTTAGCCTGTCCGTTTGGTCTGGTTGTAGAGCCAAGATACTTAAAAAATTCGGTTGATTTGACAAGCTCCCCGTTAATCGAAAGGGGTTCTGTCGGGGGTTAAGTTTCGGTTAAAAGTGCCTTCGTTTTTGGGGATAAGTAACATTCGCAAACATGCTTCGTTGGTTTTGTTTTCTATTATTGTGGATAAGGCTTGTTCTCAATAAGCAACAACCGATTGCTCCGAACGTCACATCAGGCGAAAGAAAAGCACTGACAACCTTGAAACTAGATTCTTCATTTCACATCACAGAAGCCGACAAGGGGAAAGTCACGGTCATCCTAAAGCAGATTAAAACCCAAAAGTCTTAAAACACCTTAAAAATGGACTGTATGAAACAACTGAAGACAAAAAGGTGAATGCCACTGTGAACAAAACAAAAGCTTGTGCAAACAAAGACTCATCAGACTTGAAAAACAAACTCGGTAAACCACCGTGGTTTTCATTGGCACTCAAAACGAATAGACCGGGAAGATTTTACGGTCTACCAAAAATACATAAACCGGACGTACACATTCGCCCCAATGAATATTACACATCGTGGGGAACTTATAAATCAGCAAAATGATATGTTAAAACCATAACAAAAAATCAATGATGCATTTCAGTTCGCTCGTATTTTGTAAAACATTGAACTTGAAAGTGACGAGGTTGCCGTCAGCTTTGATGTGGTTTCTCTGTATACAAGTGTTCTCATAAAAGAGAGTTTAGAGTTTCTAGATTTTTGCTGATGTCTGATTTCCCACTAGGAGAACGAACTTCTTTAACCTCATCAAAAATTGCTACTGGTGTAGAAATTGGTCTAATGTCAACTTTATTTACTTACAAACATAATTAGCACAAACAAGCAACCCATTGGATATTCCATCTCTCCCACAATAGCCAACCTCTTTTTGGATTCAATTGGACCAAAAGCAATCTCCAGTTTTGATGTACCATCACGTTTATAAGTAAGATAAGTAGACGATACGTTTGTCATTATTAAGTCACAACGCACGTCACACACGCGTTTCTTCATTGTCTAAGCAAACGATGCAGCTCCATCAATTTCATAATGGAGTCAGAGGATGTGAAAAGAGTCATCAGTTTTCTAAACTGTCACTTCAGAGTGAACAACCCACGCAAATTTACCACCAGCGCTCACAGAAAACTGACGAATTCGGATAAACTTTTACATTTTGAATCAGCTCATCCGCAATATGTAAACGGAATTTTATCTCCTCTCTGGCTGACAGAATCAAAAAGCTCTGCCATGAAGACAATGACCACCAAATGGAAATGAAACGACTCAAAAAAGTGCTAGAAGACAATAGTTATCCACCACTCCTGGTAAGATGCCAGCTAGGAGCGAACAAACTAGTGATACAATCTACTGACAAAAAAGACCGTGTAACCTCTAGTGACATTCCATATACATCAGGCACTTCAGAAGCAATCGGAAAGATTCTCGGTGATTTCAGCATATACACATTCTTTCGGGTTGACAACACTCTGAAACGCCATCTCATGAAAGCCAAAGATCCGGTTGAATTGCAAGATAAAAACAACTGCATTTACAAAATAAGTGGTAAAGAATGCCCCGCAGAATACCTTGGGCAAACCAGTAGATAACCTAAGACAAGGATAACTGAACGCAAGAGTAAAGACATCGGTCTAAGGACAAAACAACTATGGCAAAATTAGAGCGAGACTCAGCGATCGCTCTCCACGCCATAGCCGAAGGTCACACCACAGACAACGATAACCCAAAAATACTCCAAATCGGATTTCTAGCATGAGCTGAACGCTTGCATGCCGAGGCTTTGGTCATTAACACCCTTTCTGCATGTGTTGACAGAAACGACGGAATCGAGATCCCGAGTATTTGGACAACCCTAACATCCCTAACAAGTAATCACAATAAACGTTACGGTGCCACTTAACCCTGATCTGATAATGCTCTTTTTGCAAACGCTGGACAAGTTGGTGATCTGAACAGCACCTGATTTGTAGACAAAAAGTTAGATTCAGCCCGACGAAGGTCGTAGAGATATAGGAGGAACTGGTTATCGAACACTCAAGTCTGAACAAAGGTGAACAACACAGTCAAAAAATCAAGGCTGCAATGGATGTGGCCTGACCGAGTGAAACAAAGACCACACTTTTGTCCATCATGGTGCAATATTATTTGATGTTCGGATAAACCGAGATTTGAAATCAGTGCGAATACATTTGCTCACTGTAATTGGATATCCGGGACCGGTAAATGGTTACGCACAAAAAATAATGAGGACGGAGTGATTGGACTGCGTGGGATTAGTTCAGCCGGTGTTTCTGCGTTACGCGGAGTACGACATACGGTAACCAGTGCGGGATGCCGTTCGGGTTCGTTCGCATATGGTCCTTGTTTCTCTGCCTGATCTTCCTTGGTGTTCTGATTTGGGTTAAAATGAAATTGAGAAACTTCTCAAATATGGTGGTCTGAGAAAAGATCTTGTCTTGAAAAACCGACTGTCTTACAATTACGAGTATGTTGGTAATGCCATAATGAATTCATCTATCAAAAACAGCTTCCATGTTATCAAAACAGAAAGAAGACAAATGTTGCGAGATGTTAACATTTCGTTTAATCTTCTCAGTCACTGACTTAAAACAACCAGGCACAAATATAGCACAGGATTATTCAATTATGGTGAACGAACATGTACATGCATACAAATATTACTAAATTTAGAAGTAGAGGGTCAACTCCACGGTAAGCGGATAGATTGTATCAAAACTTTTTGTGCGCATAAGGTCGAGTGATGTAATCGAATGAGCAGTACCTCACTAATCGCCAAGAGTTTAGCACTGCGATTACGAAATAGTGGTTTGGAAGACGAATTGGGGTCAACTGTGAATCTTGTTGTCAATAGATGTTTTGCAACAGGCGATCTCGGGTTTCTTGTGATCACTTGGCCATCAATTTCACCAACCACTTTGGAATATGTTCGGCCATCCGTTGTGAGAGTTGACGGTTTGTTCAGCCTATGTATGCGTCACCGCAACTGCAGGTGAACTAGCTAATGTTAGAGAGCGAGGGCTTCACATGCATTGAAATATCACCCTTTTAAACCGGCTACCAGCCACAAAAGGCCAACCATAAGCACAGAAACGGCTAAATACAACTTGCTTAAAACCTAAGATCACAAATGTACCCAGCCAATCGGACGATCGGAAGCAATCGGCACACAACTGTGTGATGAACAAGCCGCAACAAGTGGACCTAATTTTGGTGGCGCCAAAAAGCACCGAATCACGAACCGACGTGCACCTGACACTTTTCTAGTAGTGACTCATGCGATCTGTCCAACGATCCACACTGTGTTGAGGTAATTATGTGCACCAGAGAACAACGAATCTGTTGTGCTTGGTCGTGGCTATCAAAATTCAAACCAAAGGTTTGGTATGAAATGACTTCAGTGATAGGAATCAACATTCCTTTGAGAGAATCGATGAATGAATTGAATTGCTTGTCCCGATCAAACACAGACGATGTGGCTATCACAGCTCCTAAAACAGATTCGAGGACGATTGCCCTCTTGTGACGCGATCTTCTCGGTAAAGTTTGTGACTCTGCGAACGCATTGCGGGAATCACGACTGTAATCAGGTCAAGCGCCAGTCGTGGAGCGAACTCATGCGCAATAGCGAGGAGACCGAAGTCATATCTAAATGCCTCGGGGTGCTCGTAACGCAATCGCTCTCAAAGCGCTTCTGATTAGCTAAAAGGCTGGGTTAATTTTGGCGTTGATATTTCAGAAAGTGGATCCAAATTATTATAACCCATCAACAGCTGTTTTTTGGAAAAATGACACGGATAGGAATTTTGGAGAATGAAATAGGTCATTTGCAAAAGTTGGTTAATAATTTCATGAAAGGCTCTTGATCAGTAGCCAAACAGACGGTTTTTTTCGCCCCTTCCACAGTTTCAATAGTAAATCCTTTAAATCACTACCGGATATGTTGTTCATTTTTGAATACCAAATGCGTAACCTAAACACAGCAACCAACATCACCACACCAAGGTGCATGGTTATTGATTGTAAAAAAAATGAATGCCGTAGGAATCCAGCAGCCACCTCTGCATGCGCAGGCCAAACATACTACTCATTTATATGAGTATTACCTCATTACACTTTTCCCTAGTGCTAGTTGATATCAGCCCTC